CGTGATACAATTCTAGGTTCAGTTTCCAAGACATGGCTTATTATTTTTATTATTATTATCATTATTATGAATCTCGGTATTAAAAGACAGACAAAAATACTAAAACATATTATTTAAACAAAGAGACAATCATTAAAATTACACAAAAAACCTCCAATCAACCCGTCAGTCAGTACAAGGATCAAGACAGAATTAAGCACATATCAATAAGAGCTGGCAACACAGATGATAATCAAAGCAACTGAAAGCTGACTTCCAGTCTGTAAAGACATCATATGTAACAGACCTGCATAAAAAGAGGTCTATATATATATGTGTGTGTGTGTTTGTAGTAAACCTAATCCTAGACATCCATCGGTTTCCTTTAGTCTGGGCTGGGTTCTTCTCTGAGAAAGCTGCGTTCAGGTGATACCAGCATTCCGAGAAAACTCATTGCTTTTTTACACAAAACAAAGCTTCTCTAGAAATACCTGAGTAAGCACCCTTGCTACAATAAAGCTACAAAGAGCCACTTGTTATCTAATCGCTTTATGCACTAGTAACGTGCAAGCAGCCGTCTTACCGACGTAAGTGTTCATCCTCAGTCCAGTCCCTGGTTGTATGTCATTGTAAGGATGCGGTTCTCCCTGGTAATTTATCCACAAAGGCCGTACGACACGGGGACTATGGTTATAAAACAGCACTTTAACTGGTATCTGACTGTTCAGGGAACGAACCAGAGGAAGAGTCTCCTCTCTTTCTTGAGGCATTGGAGCTAAATAATGCTAAACTGTTATCGCAGCGAGAGTCGCGTTCTGTAGCTAACGCTAGCAAGTAGCTCCCTAAATGTTTACAATCGTCCGCGACGGCAGCTACTCGAAATTATAAAAATCGTATCAGTTAATCTGTCTAGTCGCTTACTTATCTTATAAAACAGAAAAAGTTTAAAACATTTTTAAACGCCACAGCGAGAAAACTACTTCTCAACTAGTTTGTTTACAATCACTTTTCCGGTCGAAAGTGTGGAACGTTGAACTGTTCTGATCTCTGATTGGTCGTGACATGCAGTGGCAGCTCCAAGTGATGCGTTCAGGACGCGTTGTACGTGGTGCAGAAGCAGCAACAAGAAAATAAATTTCAAATGAAATCACAACAAGAAAACTGTCAGACTCTCACACACCTCCACCTAGAAAATAAATAAAAGCAATTATATATATATATATATATATATATATATATATATATATATATATATATATATATATATATAATTGCTTTATATATATATAATTGCTTTATATATATATGTGTGTGTGTGTGTGTGTGTGTGTGTGTGTGTGTGTGTGTGTGTGTGTGGTTAGAACTCTATATTTTACGTTCTAACCACTTTTACTAGACCAGATCTGTTAAGACTATATATATAATTGGTTTATATATATATATGTGTGTGTGTGTGTGTGTGTGTGTGTGTGTGTGTGTGTGTGTGTGTGTGTGTTATTGGAATTGACTGGCCCTCGGATTACTCTGTGTGTTGTGGTTTATCGTCCGCCTAAATACCACAAGATGTTTATCTCTGAATTTGCTGACTTTTTGGGATCCATTCTTTTTAAATATGGTTCTGTTATTATTTCTGGTGATTTTAACATTCATGTCTGTTGTATGGATGATCAATTGGCTAATGATTTTCTTGCACTGACCGACTCTTTTAATCTTACTCAGTGGGTGAATGAGCCTACCCATGTTAAAGGCCACACCCTTGATTTGGTTTTCTCATACGATGTGGATATATGTATTAAGGAAATTCGAAACACTGGACTTTCTGACCATTCCCCGGTTATCTTCGATCTTGACCTAGATAACACCGGATCACGCTTTGAGGCTCCTCTTTGCCCTACGCGTACTGTGAATCCTGATACTGTGTTGAATTTCTCTAACTCTTTTGTGAACTCTCCATTTACTACGTCAGATTGTCTTACCCCACATACGCTTGAGAATTTTGCCAATACTCTATTAACTACATGCTCCTCTATCCTTGACATTGTAGCACCTATCAAAATGAAACGCCCCAGAACCTACTCACAATGTTGGTTAAATGATTCTGTTCGCGCTTTACGACGTATGTGTCGGCGGGATGAGAGGAGGTGGAGGAAAGATAATCTCCAGTCATCATATGACATTTTATGTATTAGCCGCTTGAAGTTTCAATCAGCTGCCAGAACGGCTAAAGCAGCTTTCCTATCTAAAATTATCACCACCAATGGCAACAATCCTCGAATTTTATTTAAAATTTTTAACTCTGTGGTCAACCCCTGCCCCTCTATGCCTCTGCCGTGCTCCCCGGGTCTTTGTGAAAAATTTTCAAGTTATTTTTTAGACAAAGTCGTATTTCTTAAATCTACTCTTCCTTTGGTGACAGATCGTATGTCCATTCCTGATTGTTCTACTACTTTTTGTCAATTTGAACCCGTTTCACTCTCTACTCTGAAGCATCTAATTGAGAAACTGAACAATACTAATCTTGTACATGATGTTCTTCCATCCCGTATAGTCAAGGACTGTTTTAGTGCAATTGGACCTTGTCTATTGTCCATATTGAACTCTTCCTTGCTGTCCGGCTATGTACCATCAGCTCTCAAACATGCTATAATCCAACCTGTTCTTAAAAAAAGTAACCTCGATCAAAATGATTATGCCAACTATAGGCCGATTTCTAAGCTTCCCTTCGTGGCCAAAATTCTTGAGAAGGTAGTTCTGCTTCAACTTCAGACCTACCTGGATGAGAATAACATTAATGATAAATTTCAATCGGCCTTCAAACAACATCACAGCACTGAATCAGCGCTGCTCCGAGTTTTTAATGACCTTTTATTAATGGCTGACAATGGACGCCCCTCTGTCCTAGTGCTATTGGATCTTTCATCGGCATTTGACATGGTTGACCATAACATACTATTGGCGAGACTAGAGCACACTGTAGGCATCAAGGGCGCTGCCTTGGATTGGTTTAAATCTTACCTCTCCAATCGGCTCTCTTCGGTTCACTTGGCCACCTCGTCTTCTTCCGCTGTACCTGTTTGCTGTGGTGTCCCCCAGGGATCTGTGTTAGGCCCTACCCTGTTCTCATTATATATGCTTCCTTTAAGTGCTATCTTTGAGAAATACCACATTGCTTTTCATTATTATGCCGATGACATCCAGATCTATTTTGAGTTAAATGATGATCTAGCTCTGTCCTTGAGTAGCTTTCGAGAGTGCATGTGTGAGGTCAAGCAATGGCTTCTGGCAAATACTCTTATCCTTAATGATAAGAAAACTGAAATTATGATCTTTGGTAGTGACGCTCTCCGTGCCAAACTTCGTGATGCCTTTGGTTTTCTCACTAGCTCTTTCTCTGACACTGTTAGGAATCTGGGTGTGCTACTTGACAGCTCATTTAAACTTGATAAACAAGTGTCTGCTGTCGTCAGATCCAGTTTTTACCAACTTCGCCTTATTTCTAAGCCCAAACACTATATCCCGCACAATGACCTGGAAAAGCTCATCCATGCCTTTGTAACGTCAAGGCTAGATTATTGTAATTCACTTTATTTTGGTCTCCACTCTACCCTTCTACATAGATTACAGACAGTCCAGAATGCCGCTCCACGCATTCTAACTAAAACTAAGAAGTTTGCTCACATCACTCCCGTCCTTGCTGATCTGCACTGGTTGCCTGTGAAATTTCGTATTCAATTTAAAATTCTGTTGCTTACTTTTAAAATTACTAATAACACAGGACCAAGCTATCTTAAGGAACTCTTAAACTCATATGCTCCTGCGAGGGCTTTAAGATCATCCTCACAGTTATTGTTGGTTCAGCCCAGATCTCGTTTGAAGTCTAGAGGTGATCGAGCGTTTGCTCTAGCTGCACCTGAGCTGTGGAACAATCTCCCGATTGGCATCCGGGCGTCTGATTCTATTCAATCTTTTAAATCACGGCTTAAAACATATCTGTTTGAACTTGCTTTTTCTACCAGTTAAATCCTGGCCTTGTTTGCAGTGAGTTATTCTATTAATTTTTCTGTTTGTCTTGCGTTGTCTTGCGTTGTCTATGTTCTTTATCACTGTGTTTGATGGTACAGCTTTACTTTGCTATAGCTATGTGCTATAGTTTACTCTTATTAGTGGTTTTTACCTGTGAACATAATTCCACACTTATATGATTCTGATGTTGGCTTTTAAATGTGCTCTATAAATAAAGATTGTTGTTGTTGTTGTTGTTGTTGTTGTTGTTGTGTGTGTGTGTGTGTGTGTGTGTGTGTGTGTGTGTGTGTGTGTGTGTGTGTGTGTGTGTGTGTGTGTGTGTGTGTGTGTGTGTGTGGTTAGAACTCTATATTTTACGTTCTAACCACTTTTACTAGACCAGATCTGTTAAGACTATGCATGCGAACCAAAGTTTCAGGTTATACAATAATAAATAAAAAGATATAATAACAGATTCTTTAATTGGTCTATTTATATTTGATAATACAAATGCATATAGGCCTAAAGTATTTACAATTGCTGAGTAAAGGATCTGTGGAGAAGAGATAAATCGGTCAAAATCAAGTAGGCTAAATAGTACTATATATACTATCCTATACTATTATACTTGATATTAAATATCAAAAAATCATTTTTAACATATTGAAAGTAAAAATGCAATAAAAATCACATGATATCTCTTCTTTAGCCTAAACAACAGTCCGCCAGCACTAATCTCCCATATGCTTTATACTTAATTATCAGGATTAACCCATGGCTTTTTTTATGTGTAAGAAATGCTAATCAGATTCAATGAATATGAGCTCCACCCAGTTTCATTCTGACATAAAATACTGAGGCACAGTAGAAACCTTCCAGATTAACACCAGACAGCATTCGCAAGCTGAACTCGACTGCAGGAGTAAAGCTTCCATTCGCCTTCAATATTATTTGAGGTTTAAGCAGGTATACAGAAATAAGCCACATTGCAGTTACTTCTATGGAACAGAATCTTCTTTTCAACAATATTTTATCATGGGAAATTACGTTTTGACTTTTGTTTGTTTGCATAAAATAAAAATATTCAATTTTTCCTTCATTTCAGATACTTTTCGTCAACATCGAAGGTCTTCAATCACAATGAATGACAGTGACTTTGTGGAGGCACAGGATGTGCCAAGAGATGAGAGTCTGGCCAAGGTGGAGATCGCGCTGCTCAGTGTCGTCTTCGTGAGCGCCGCCGTCCTCAACACCAGCCTGCTGCTCGTCCTGTGGAAACAGCGCAAACAGATGTCCAGAATGCGCGTCTTCGTGTTCCACCTGTGCCTGGCGGACCTGGTGGTCACTTTCTTCCAGGTGTGTCCGCAGCTTTTGTGGGACATCACAGACAGGTTCGTCGGACCGGACTTGGTGTGCCGACTTGTGAAATATTTGCAAGTTCTCGGCATGTTTTCATCGACCTACATGATCGTGGTGATGACAGTTGACAGGTACCAGGCTATCTGCAACCCGATGGTAAAGTTTCAGCGGACACGCACGAGACTAAATGTCCCCGTGTGCGTTGCGTGGGGGATTTCTCTGCTGGGCAGCTTGCCTCAGGTCTTCATTTTCTCACAGGTGGAGGTTACACCGGGTGTGTTTGATTGCTGGGCTACATTTATCCAGCCATGGGGGCTGCAGACTTACATCACCTGGACCACGCTGGTCATTTTTGTTTTACCCGTTATCACAGTTGTTGTTTGCCAAGTCCGCATCTGCCGAGTCATCCAGATCAACATCTACCAAAAGACTCAGCAGAAAGGAACGGTGGGTTTGCCATCCAGAGCCAGCGGTGTGGCTGGCATGTCGAAGGCTAGAGTGAAAACACTGAAGATGACGGTGGTCATAGTACTCGCTTATATTGTCTGCTGGGCTCCGTTTTTCACTGTCCAGCTGTGGTCCGCGTGGGACAAGCAGGCGCCTAAAGAAAGTAAGTATTGCGTATATTTGCTGTGTGATCGTCATAATCAATGTAGTTCATTTGGTCTTTTACGTTTTCTAATTACACAGAACCTGAGCATATTTACGCACAAACACAAATTACTAATCTCTAGGTGGCAGATGAGATTGCTTGGCAGACACGTGACACTTTGCCCTCCTCTTTTAATTCCAGCTGCTACTTTCACCATCCTGATGTTGCTTGCCAGCCTGAACAGCTGCGCGAATCCCTGCATTTACCTTTTGTTCAGCGGTCAGGTTCCCAAGAGGCTGGTGTCGCTCCTGTGCAGGAGGCATTCAGGCGGAAAGGACTCAGTGCACGAGGAAGCGACGCTGGTCAGCACTTTGTATCTAAGCTTAAAAAATCCCCCCGAGTCCAAGTGAAGGTAGCGCATTACTAAAAATGGGAAACTCCTGCAGGGCAAACCGTGCAAAGTCTGCGCGCCTGGATATGCTGCCTCTCTGAATTTTAGCAACCGTTTCAAAGGGTGAAGGCAACGCATGCTGTATGTTATTTGGCACATAAAAAGATATAGTGTGTAGTAAAAAGCAGCCAACAAAGGCGAGAGAGTGAGAACAACATGCTGTTGGATAACAGCATCTGGAGAGACTAAACAACTGGTGTGGATCATCAAGCTGTTTGGATAAATCTTTTTACTTTGAGAAATAAAATGTTCATCCCATTTAGTGGTACCTGAATGAGCCAGTCTTTTCAGCCAGATTGGATTCAGCTGTATAGTGTTTTGCATACTGCCATATATAGAAACATTCCTTGAGTTGATTTCACCAATCTAAAGTAAATAAAATCTATTCATAGCTTTCCAAACGAAAGAATAAAAGCAAGCATATGTGTTTCACTGATGTAACAGAGAGGAAATAGAGGCACACTTTATGTTGGAACAAACTGTATTTAAAGATTGTGAAATATGTTTGTCAGCCCTTTAAATGTTTCTATGGTGAAAACCTACTCACTGTTCACAAAATCACACACCAGGTGCTTGTATTTTGTAAAATACTGTTCATGCCATGAACAACTTTGTTTATTTATGGAATAAAATGTTGTCACAAATGTGTTGCACTGCTGTTGTATAACACATGAGGTAGCCTTTGTAATCCTAAACATTTACAAATGATACAGATCGTATTTATGGCACTAATATTTAGATATAAGTCCATGCGGTCCCACCTAATGTTAATGTGTTTTAAAACAAGGATTGAATTGTCTACATTGTCAACATATCTTTCCACAAATATTACAGCTGGAAGAATGTAATCAAAAGACAAACAGACAGATGGACAACCCTACGCTATGTCATGCAACATCTGCAGGTCATCAGAGTGAAAAACCTTTTTTGAAAGAGCAGCACGCCAAAGAGAGACATAGAATGAGAAAAATATGAAGCTCGGAATGTGGCCAGTTCATTGTCCAAGTCAGTCAGTAATTTTGATCAGGACTTCAGGTCAAACTAGAAAATTAGTCATCAGCAACAACAATTAGTTTCAGTGATTGAAGGCATATCCAACGTGTGCTACCTATATGACAGTGGAAAAAAGAGCATTGGTACTGAGCTGAAAAGTTTTGTTGGTTGCTTTGTAACTATGGGAGCTGCAATGGTCTAAATTTCATTTGAGGATCTTAAAATAACTGAACACTTTGACCTTCACAGCAGTGCTTCAGGTTTCACTGGAGTCCACAGGGACCTGCAGTAACGTAATTTTATTTTCCCTCCTAAATGTGTTTTTTGGGATATTATAAAGAAAGAGGCATCACAGCAGACACTAACTGGTGGCAGTTACTCGTGCACATATATGCTCACCTGAGCACTGAGGCAATCCGACAGCTTACGTTGGGAGTCTATCCAATTTTCTCTGGTAAATTTTTATGTGCTAACTTGTACCTCTGCATAAATTTACAACAGAAAGTATTTTATTTATATATCGAAAAACATACAATATAGGCATAATGCTTCAACACACTGGTTTTCTTTCAATATTATCACCAATGTTTCAACACAACCCAGAAATGATTTCCTCTTCTGTCCTCCTGTGTTTGTCTGGTATCTGATGCCAGAGTAAACAGTTCTGTCTGGTAGCAGGCTGAAATTTAATATCAGCTCATTAAGCCATTTTAGCATCTCCGACGAGGGTCGGAGTGCCAACGAAAACCGTGAGGAAGGAGCACTTCCGCCTGCTGTTGTGGTTGTGATTCGCCCATCTTGCCTGCCTGGATGAGGTGCGGCAGCTGGAATCAGAAAGATCAAACACCATGGCTAAAGTGAGCATAGAAACGAGACACAAGGTGGTGAGCCTGCACCAGCAAGGTCTCTCACAGGTAGAAATCTCGCGGCAGACAGGTGTTTCCAGATGTGCTGTTCAAGCTCTTCTGCAGAAGCACAAAGAAACGGGTACGGTTGAAGATCAGAAACGCAGCGGCCGACCGAGGAAGCTGAGTAAAGCGGACGAAAGACTCATTAAGATGACTTTGCAGCGAAATAGGAAGATCTCCAGTAGCGCCATCACCTCAGAGCTGGCGGTGACCAGCGGCACTCTGGTGCACCCGTCCACTGTGCGGAGGAGTCTGGCCAGGAGCGGTCTAAATGGGAGGAGAGGGAGCAAAAAGCAGGTCCGGATGTGTGAAACGAGCGAAGACAAGACACTCTCAGGTGAACAGAAACAGCAGAACTGGGATGACAATAAATGGGAGCAGGAGGTCTGGACTGAAGATTCAGAAGCTGAGATTTCTGACTCTAACACAGAGGCTGGAGAGCCACAGGACTGTGAGGAGACAGATTAGGCGACATGTGAAGCACGCTGGAGCTTCCTGATAGGTTTGGGATTGCATGTCTGCAAAATCAGGATCACATTATCCTGAGACAAGCATGTCAACAATCTCAGAGTTATATATTTATATAGATCAGTTCATGTTAAACTTAAAGCGCAAAACTATCATACATGTTCAGCTGCCGTGTGTTTGTATTCGTTTCAAAGAAAAATTATTATCTGAAATATATTTTTACACTTCAGTAGAAAGTGCAATAAATATGAGATGTTTGAGAAGTTGTTAAGTTCTCCTTGTTCTGCCTATTTAAAAAGTTTATTTTTATTTTAAAGAGGCAGGCATTCACCAGGTCACATAGACATATTTTTTTGTGAAAATTGGTGGACATCCATTTAATCCATGTTGCATGTTATCCTGTAAAAATGATTAACCTTTCCCCCCGTGGACCCTTTTATATTTGCTGCACCAATTCAGTTTCCCCAGGGATAGCAGTAATGTGCAGTCTGATCTTGAAATTGGTGGGTTTAACCTGATTAAAGGCCTTAACAAGATATGTATTTCACCATCACCTTCAGTTATTTGACACTCTTGTCTCGGTAAAAATACAAAGCTCAGTAAAGGCAGAAAGACAGACCATGTGTGAGACTGCAGGATATAGAAGAGAAGACAGCAGCTCATGTGCTTCGTTGTTTTCTGTGCTCCTCTCACACTTTTTAAATGCGCTGATTAGAAAAAAGCAAAACAAAATGGGAGCAGGATCTAAAAATGTAAGTGTCACTGTATGATTTTTAGAATTTTTGAGTTGTTTTGCAGCATGTGCTAAAATTGAAACCGGGACAATAAATGCAAGCATCCAAAAATCTACCAATTAAACCCTAAATTTAGAATCACACTGTTCATGGTGAGTTCACCTGGTGCTGCAGCACCCCTGAATATGTCTGGACACTTGTAGACAGCAATTTAATGTTTTATTGCAGGTACAGTTCAGGCTCGCTGTGAAACAAGCAGTCCATTCAGACTGCACAGGCACTCCATCTCAACCAGTATGGTTTGCTGTGTCTCCCTGCACAGTCTCAAGACCGGGGTAGACACAGGAAGACGTTTTTAGTCAGTCAGTTTTTACAACCCATGTAGTAGGCTCTCACTGGAATTAATGAATGCCACTCAGAAGTAACTATTGTTTTAGACAAAGAGCAGTTTGTTAGTTAAAATTTAACCATAGTATTATTTCAGGATGTAAACTTTGATAATAACTTTTGATTTTGAATAATTGTGGATAAGCCAAACATGATAGGAAGATTTCATTTTACTTTGAGTCCATATTATTGTTTCATATTAAATTAGTATTTTCACACCTGTTTGGTTTCTGCATACTTTTTCTTTATTACACTGCAACAGCACACATCTTAGACTCTGGCATCCAGGAGTAATGGAGGCTCTCCTTCTAGCTGTGGAGTCAAACAGTTTTCATATCATGTCTATGAGTGCATAGTACTATGCAGCCAGAGAGTCCTGTTTAGTTTAACTTGTGACATAACTGAAATAAATATTTGAAATATAATAAATTACTTCACCTGCACAAGAGACACGAGGAAGAAATGGAAATATGGAAAATGTTTTATGTCTAAATGATGGAAGTTGGGACAGAATCAGTATTAAAGCAGATTCAGCACTAAGAGAAAATCTAATAACCAATCTTAGTGAGACATCTAGAAATATCTTATTAGAGCTGTGTAACAGAGACTGGGAGGCTCTGTTAGCAGTGGTAGTAACAATGTGAAAACCAGGGAAAGATGAGAGAGAACTAGGAAATTACAGACCAGTAACTTAAAAAATCCAAATCTGCAAAACAATGGAGAATATATGAAATGAATGGTTAAAGTACTATATAGATAATAAAATTGAAAGTGGGCTTAGAAGAGGGAGAAGTACAACTGAACCAGCTTTATGTTTAAAACATGAAATTAGAAAAGGCAATGTAAACAAACAAAGTGCCATGACATACAATATGACACAATGTGAAGAGAAGGTCAACTAGTGAAAGTGAGGAAAATAGGCATTACAAATTATTACACAGATACATTTCTTTTAAAAACTACAGAAGGATAAATACATACATGTCATGGGAAGCTTTACACTGGAAAATGTAAGTAATCAAGAGTTGGTCGTGGTTTCATGAAAGGATTACATGGGTCACACACAATGAAGAAAAACAGTAAGAAATGCAAGAGTGTTAAATGTAATCATATGTTTAATTGAAAATAACTAAGCAGACAGGAATTCTATGAGGACCATATACAGCAGATTTATCAGGCCAGTATTAGATTATGGAGTATTGTAGTGTATGGTTCAGCATCAGATACATACAAACATACAATTGCACCCAGCGCACCTGCGTGTAAAACAACCCCAATAGCAGCATAATGAGCAGAGCTGGGTGGAATGCCACTAGAAATCAGAAGGGAGCAGCTAACACTAAATTGCTGAGCAAAGTTACAGGGCCATGAACGGGGTCATCCAACATGAGGCGTTCGTAAGAGCTTTATGGGAAAAGGAAAGAAAAAACAAAGCGCTTTGGCTTGTCTCAGAGAGCAACAGAACTTAAAATAGGCCAGTTAAACATTAGTCAGACCGTGCCATTACAGGCAAAAGAGCAACAAATACTTCCTGTCGCCACAGAAGAATTTACATTAATGGAAAAGAAAGAGTAAGGATGGGGATTTTATTTTAAACATACAGTACAGGCATACATTCATCAGCACTGCAGTTTTGTCCACATTGATGCAGATGCATCAATTAGAGTGATGGTCACTGTTTCTGAGTTTCTTATCAAAGTAGAGGAAAACATTACTGACAGATTATGAATGAACATGGGAGAAATGTTCATAGTACTTGAAGATGCAAGACCAATAACTTGACTCAAATTCACTCAAAACACTCACATAGTGTACAGTATATCTATCTATCTATCTATCTATCTACCTGTCTTCATGTATATACAATTTTAAAATGATCTTGTGTTTTCTTTCTCATTTCCCAGCACAGCCACCCCACCTTGTGTATATAGGTTATTTGAATAACTATAATAAAAAGACACTAATGATAGTTAATCAAGACAACTATTATGAGTGCCTTTTTGTTTGCACTGATGTTCATGAATAAAGTTCTTTTTTTAGAAAAAAAAATGTTTTAGTTAAACTCAGGCTGACAGGAATAAAGAGCATCATGATGCAGAAAATGTTGAAAAGGTGGCAAAAGCAATGAAAGGACGAAATGAAAGGGTAATGGTTCTGGGGAGGAGCAGGAGAGATTCCCATCTGTCATTCGTAACAGGAAAACACCAAACATGTTGTATTATACTATGAAAAATATGAAGACAGGAGACGCAAAGTGGTCCAAAAACCTCAAGAAACTAAAAGTTAACCTGGCTGTTGAAGTCTTTAAGTGGTGAACGCTATCGGGACCAGCTGGTGGCGGTAATGCACCAATTAGATGTGTGCCAACCTCAAGTATGCATCAAGAAGAAGACGCAGAAGAAGACGCTCTTCCGCCTGCTGTTTTGGTTGTGATTCCCGTCGTCTGGTCTACCTGGTTAAGGTGAGGCTGCTGGGATCAGAAAGATCAAACACCATGGCTAAAGTGAGCATAGAAACGAGACACAAGGTGGTGAGCCTGCGCCAGCAAGGTCTCTCACAGGCGGAAATCTCGCGTCAGACAGGTGTTTCCAAACGTGCTGTCCAAGCTCTTCTGCAGAAGCACAAAAAAACGGGTACGGTTGAAGATCAGAAACGCAGCGGCCGACCGAGGAAACTAAGTAAAGCGGACGAAAGACTCATTAAGCTGACTTTCCTGGAGAATCGGACCATGTCCAGTAGCGCCATCACCTCGGAGCTGGCGGTGACCAGCGGCACTCTGGTGGACCCATCCACCGTGCGGAGATGTTTGGCCAGGAGCGGTCTTAATGGGAGGAGAGGGAGCAAAAAGCAGGTCCAGATGTGTGAATCGAGCGAAGACAAGACACTCTCAGGTGAACAGAAACAGGAGGACTTGGATGTCAACAAACTGAAGCAAGAGGAGGAGGAACAATGGGAGCAGGGGGAACAAGGGGAGCAGGAGAAGCAGGGGGAACAAAAGGTGTGGACTGGAGATTCAGCAGATGAGAGATCTTACTCCAACTCGGAGGGTGGAGACAGCCACAGCGACGAGAGGCTTTAGGCAGCCTGTGAAGCATGCTGGGACTGCATTTCTGCAACTGTTGTTGAGTTTTTTGTCTGAATGTGTGAATTCCTTAAAGATACATCATGGGGGGAATTCAAATGATTTACTTTCATGTTTTTTATTTGGTTACACATTACCGTTTGGTTTACTTCTTTCTATTTAGTCACTTTGTTAGTGTCTGTTTGCCTTTATGTATCTACATTATTGTGATCAGCCAAAGATCTCCTTTGTCTTTTGTCTGCTTTGTCAACTTTGGGCACTTTATCTTATCTCGGCCTTAAAAAAAAGTCAAGTTGTTTAATTTTATGTTGCATTTAGTTTAGTTTTTGATCTTTTTGTAAATTGTTTTTCACATTTTGGGGGTAGAGTAAAACTTACATGTGCCCTTCACGCTGCATAAGCAGAAAAGGAATCCGGTGCATGTCCTCAAACGATGTCACTTGAGTCTGCATGGCACAGGCGGAAGAATGGAAGTTTTAAAATAAACAAGGAAGTTAGAGAAGCGTGAGCTTGTTAGGCATATTCTTATAATAATCAGAAGACTGGGGATATATGCTTGAACCCAAATTAGCTGATAAAAGCAGAATGTTTAAAAAAATCTTCATTTTGACATGATGGCATCAAACAGCCGCTGCAGATTTGTCTGCTGCACATCCATGATGTGAATCTCCTGTTCCACCACATCCCAAAGATTCTCCATTGGGCTGATACCTGGTGATTTAGGTACTCGGTCATGTTTAGGGAACCAGTTTGAGATGATTTGAGCCATCAGACAATGGGTACAGTGTGGTCGTATAAGGATGGATGTGGTCAGCAGCCATACTCAGGTAAGCCGTGGCATTTAAACAATGCTCAGCTGATATTAGGGGGCCCAAAGTGCAAAGAAAATATTTGATACCATACCAGCAGCTATCCAAGGTGTTGTTTACACTAAATTCTGACACTACAAATGTCACAGCTTCTTTTTCCCCCCCAGTTTTCTGTTGTCCAGTTTTGGTTTGGTGACAGAAGAGGCACCCAGTGTGGTCTTCTGCTGCTGTAGTCCATCTGCTTCTAAGTTGGACCTGTTTTGCATTTAAAGATGCTCTCCTGCATACCTTGGTTGTAATGAGTGGTTATTTGAGTTACTGTTACCTTCCAATAAGATCAAAGCAGTCGAGCTATTCTCCTCTGATCTCTGGCATCAACAAGGTGTTTTCACCACTACTGGACATTTTCTGTTTTTCTGACCATTTTCTGTAAACCTGAGAGATGCATGTGTGGGAAAGTACCATCACTTCAGTAGTTTCCGAAATGCTCAGACCAGCCTGTCTGGCACCAACAACATTCAAAGTCATTTAAATCTGTCTCCCTTCTGATGACCAGTTTGAACTTTTGCAGGTTGTGCACCTGCCTAAATGCATGGCATTGCTGCAATATGATTGGCTAATTAGACGTGTGTTTAAAAGTGCTGAGCGGGTGTACCTAATAAAGTGACCTGTTAGCATATGTGTAATATATATAGATAGATAGATAGATATACACACACAACACATACATACATACACAGGTATATATATATTTTTTACAATATGAAACTTATGTGAGAATAAAAACCTCACTTTAATTAATAATAATGAGTCAGCTGTCATCAATTTGGACTAATTGTAAAAAAAAAAAAAAAAGTACATTTACACTTACTCAAAAAATAATTAAAGCACTTTACCAGTTAGCCTATCAATGAGTATCTACATTTATATCTAAACAAATTCCAATAGAGAACTGTAGGGAGGATTTTCTATATTTACGTGATTTTTGTTGACCACAAATCGAGGAACGACTTTACAGAAACTGGTCGCAGACGACTAAGGAAAAAGCACCACCTCATCATCCCTTTCATAAAGGAGGAAAGAGAGAAACAAAACAACTGCTAAAGCCACAAAACAAGCTGACCAATATGCAAACAACAGTATGCTAAATATTTGTTTTCTGTGGTGTAGCAGTTTAAACATTTTCCTAACAAGCCTCCCCTCCTGGGAGGACACACAAATCCCCTGGGGGTTGCATCTGGAAGGGCATCTGGCGTAAAAATCTGCCAAATTAAATACTGCAGAGGTTCCTGCTGTGGTGACTGTGAATAATTTGTTTTTGTTTTGAATAATTTTTTTGTTTGTTTTTCAAATGGTCATCGTACGGTGCCTTCCATTTTTCGTATAAAAATGAATGAAGCTGTCTAATGTTTTACAGAGAAAAACAGGGGGGCAACATTCATGACAAAAATCATACTATGAGAAATATAGTATATGTAAGCATTTATTCTTGGAGGCATGGGTAAATTTTACTTATGGGACCTGTATTTTTGCTCAACTTATGTTAAATTCATAATGACATAGTGTAATATTTCATGTGTTTTTGTTCTGAGGGTGTATTAACCTCATTTAAGACCTGATAATGACCAGAAGATCTGGGATGAGGTGTTTTTACTTTTTAACCACGACCATAGGTCACGTAGTCCACGTGCGAAACCAAGTGAACATTTTTTTTTTTACTATAAATGCTCCTCTCCGATGGGCCCTCACGTTCAAGGCCACAGTGGCTGACAATTCTCCGCTCCCATACATGGACTGATTAGATTCTCACACGTGCTACAGAATATCAATGATCCTCCAGCCACTTGCATCTGCATAGTTGCACGTAGTCACATCTGCATACTGCACGCTGCAATGAAGGCGCATGGTAGTTGGTTAGCTCTACCTGCATGTTACAGCTCAGCAGATCATCTCAAAAACCTCCCACAGATGTCCTCTTTAGACAAACATGAGACAAGAGCTACTGCTTGGAACCTGCGTGTTTATTTAAATTTGTGGTACAACGAATGGCTTGGTGAAACGAGCAAAGGCTTTTGCAAACAGATGATTTATCCAGTGAAGCATCCAGGTTATAGTTTTTAATATGTGAGTGTAAATCAGACGGCATGGCAAACACTCAAATCAGTTATATGATGGAGAATGTCATCAAAAGATCACAAGACAGTCATTTAAATTTCTGAGCTCCTCTCAAAGCGGATATATCTGCTCGACGAAACAAAGTGTTTTGATATGAAATATGAAGATTATGAGTAAAAGCTTAAAAAATAAATACTCGGAAGCTCACATTTTCAGATTTTTGAGGGAACAGCAATAATATGAAGATTGGTGATTGGATTACATCTAGATAAACTATTAAATAACAAAGGTATTTCCCCACCAAGTATCAATACAACTCTGTACACTTCATGTTTCAGCAGTAAGAATAACAAGGAAGAAATTTGAAATTGTAAGTTGCTCCCCTTTAGAGAAATAGATTCTTTTTTTAAATTGGCTTGTTAGTTTTTTTTTATGCTGAGAGAAATATGACATGTCTGTTAGAAGAAAGCCCAGAACCAGCTGCTGGTTAGGTTAGCGTGAAGACTGGAAACCAGTGAGAACAACTAATGTGCCTCTGTCCTAAGGCCAAAAAAAAACAAAAAAAAACAAAAAAAACAACTTTGTACCATCATCTCCTTTCTTTAAGGTTTAATAGTTAAGTAGTAATATTATGAGCCTCTGCCTGATTGAACCACTAATCTTGCTTTTCAATTTTTGAGTTAAATTACTGTCACATACAAGCAGTTTCCTCCAGCTTTCTGTTTAACAGGCAGTGGATGTGGCTTAAAGTGGCAATAATTACTTTAAATCCTCATTAAGAAAATGTGGATTACATAATGTACACATTTACACATTTGCCTGACAAGCAAACAATCCCTGGTTAAATCCCAGGAGGAGAAAAATATCCCTTTGGGGTTGCATAAGGAAGGGTATCAACTGGAAGTCAAATATTTGGTGGCCCCCTTTGACTGATGCAGCAGCTGAAAGTAGCTATTACAATGTAGTGGCTATCAGAGGCTCCAATGATAAAAATTCTATAACTCCATCCTGAAAGAGCAGAAAGTATACTTGATTTAAACATGGCCAAGCACCTTCTGTCCCTTAAAGGACTTCTCCCGTTCCTGGGCAGCTTCTGTCTCATGACGGCTTTCTGGAAGACCTGTTTGGATCATTTGTACATCATTTGAGGGTAGGTGTAGCCAAATTTAAATGGGATATGTTCTTCGAATGTTTGGCACCAGTTCGCGGAGGTCTCTGGCTCTCACTGGATGAAATCGTAAGCAAACACGATGTTTCACCAAAACCCACAGGTGTTGCATATGGTTTTAATCTTCGTCTGCAAATACTTCCTATACACTAGCCCAACTTGAAGAAAAATTGTGGCTTGAATAAATTAGCTGCAGAGCTGAGACAACTTTTACTGTGAAGGTGAACTTTCTCTATTTCCTGTCTGTGTCACACTCAGACACTTAAATTCAAACTACAACCACAGCAATATGCTAGCAACCAAAGCAATCACAAGGAGATTTTGGTCAACTAGTTGGCAGTTTTTCTCCTGGTGCCTGCTGGTTGCCATGGGGTCACTGAATAGGCCTGCAAAACTGGATCTTTAGCAACCACTTCCCCAGCAGCTACCATTAACCCCCAGCAACCACTCTTAATCAGTCAGGAAATGCTCATTTTTCCCTTGTAACTGGTGGTTGCTAGATGGTTGCAAACCAGTCTGTAGATGCGCATACTACTATAGCTTACACCAGGCAGCAATAATAGAAGACTGCAGAACAACCAGAGTAACAATCAAGGGTAGAAAGAAACGGGGGGACGACAGAAAGTGTTGCAGTTTTTGCAGCATTGCTGGAAGGGTAGAGGGGTAAAGTTAAAATGTATCTATTGCCAGTTTAATGTGATCCACAGACATGAACAATGTTTTCCTCTCTCAGCAGAAAAAGTGAAGAAAAAGACGCGTTTATCCAAAAAATGATGTTCTCTATCCAAAAACATGTCATCAGACAAACATTCGAGATGATTTCTCATTGTGTTACTCAGCTTACTCATAAAAAGATAATTTCCTAACAAAGAATCAGCAAAAGAGTTTTGCAAAAAAATAAATAAATTAGACTCTACAAACAGTCGGTCGACAGCCATATAAACAACAAATACTGCCTCAGTTTTACCGTACATAAATACAGACGTGAGCCATTACCCTTGCAACAGAATCCTGAAAACTGTCACCCTACAAACCCAAGAGAATACTAAAATAATAATAATAATAATAATAATAATAACTCTTAAATCTTATCATCATTTTGCCTTTCTGAATCCGATTCCTCGCACTTCAAAAGACACCGAGCTGGAGCGTAGGCACACCATTTTAACATACCACGCGTGAACAAACTAAAAGAAGGGTAAATGCTCCTCTTGCTCTGTCTCAGTGGGCTTTGACCTTTGATAAACAGTCTGCCGCAAGGCACCAATGCATCGCTAATTTTCACTCGTGCAATCAAAGATGATGCTCGTCTCCAGATGGGATAATGAGTCTCTAGTGAATACAAAACAGACACAGATTATATCAGATATATTACACAATATCATTATTGTCACTTCAGTTTCTTTTGTTTCGAACAAAACAAATCCACTGTGATAACAAATTGCAGTTTCACCAAACATCAATGAATATGTTAGCTTAATTTCCAACCTTCTTGCATACAAAAATACATCCGCTGTAATTCCAAAATTCAAAATATCTCCTATCGTGACAGATCTACACATACATGAGTGCACTCTCTTTCTAACAGTTTTCTCCACCGGTCTCTCGCAGCTGATAATAATATTAGAAATCCTATCTGAGAAACTCACAAAGGATCTGAATGCTAGACTATTAAATTACTGTGTGCGGATTTTACAACAGCTTAAAGTGGCCATCGCAGCTTGCCGACGACATCTCAATTTTAGCTGCATGCAGCCAGCTAAGACAGAGGAGAGGAGGTGAAGGTAAAGAGTATTATGCATTCAGCGTCCCCCTGTGGGTCTGTGTGTTCTTCTATTTGGAAAACAGCTGGAAAGAGGTGCAGATCAGGCAGCTGCATGCTGGGATCTTAACCACATATCATGGTCTATTCTGCAAGTCTCAGTTTGACTCTCACTCTAACAGACTGCTTTCAACCTCGACACTGCCTCCGCATTTTAAGAACCTTTTAGAATAATAATTACATCCAGCCTGTTCAAATATGCACTTAAAAATTGCCATCTGAAGGCCAAAATGACCTTTCTGCTAATATGCTGAATTTGTTGCCAGGGGTGACAGGCATTGTGATTGAAGAAACTGCAGCCAGACAGTGGCTAAAGATGCAGACTGTGGGAAGTTTGCAGGAATTTTCTGAATGAGGCAAATAGATGGTCTGGTATCACAGACAGAAGAGGCGAGAACCCTCTCTGCCCTCCTCCCCTTCACTCTGTGGGATACGAGGGAGCATGGCTGAACGGGTCAGACCCCAGAAACGAGGTGGAGACAAGTCCTTCTTGGTGGCTGTGAACTTCCAACCCATGTGGGATCCGCAGGTTCGACACTGAGCAATCGTCCAGGCGTACCTGAAAGCAATTAAAGTGCCACATTTTCACATTTGTGATCAGTAGTGCATACAGTACTGTGTATACTTTTGGCACTTTGCTACAAGCAGAAAGCCTGAAGAACTGTTGCTCAGGACCACTTTAAAAATTACAAGGAGGTCCGGCTCTTTGGAGGCAAGAAAACAATGCAAATAAAAAAATAAAGTGCAACTTAAGACTTATGCACTGTACTCTATTGCCGCATGATTAGATGACTTCCAAGTTCCAAGTTAATGCCAACACAGTCCTCCCTGTGAGTGTGCCATAAGAATAGATTCAACGATGTCTCAGTAAAAAACGCGCCGAATCACATGTACAGTAAAGGTGAAACATACAAATGAAAACTATGTACAGAAAGTCAAATATACCTTGAATTCACATAACTAAGAAGTTCACAGTATTACTCTGTAAGCCCAGAGTCAAAGCAAAAACAAAACAAAAGCAAACCATGTCTCAAGAAACTTCTAGAATAACTCTGTATTATACTGGAGTAGCCCATTTTATCATGTGGCAGAAAAAACATAAGTAGTGGTTTGCAACTACAGAAACTGTTGATTTTGCTCATCTGTGTATCAATATTCAGAGCATGCACAGCTGCTGGAGTTGTTTATGTGTACATCTCTCAGATGAGTCGGAATGAGGTCAGATCACGTTTGCACTGAAAAGTAAAATTGATCTAGAAGTCATTTGTGTCCAAACTCATTCCTCTTAAGAGTGTGACTGTTTTTGTCTGCGACAGAACCAAATCACAAGTCCCACTCTGGAGTCTGATTCGCCTGGTCGAATCTAAACCTCAACTTCTAAAACTCTGAAACAGATTCTTACAGGTCTGTTTAATTCTGTTATCATTCACCAAATCTCTCACAGTGTAGTTCAGCGATACAACCTTAAAAATATCTTAAAATTTTAAAAGAAAAACTGACATTACTGTCAGCATAAAGTGCTTTGCACAGGTATCATGTTGCAGGAATTTAAATTGGGTTATTTAATTACTAAATGAGCCCAGTGACAGCCTGATGGCCTGTCCAGGGATTACCCTCACTTTTGCCCTATGGCAGGTAGGACAGACTAACACCCTGTGACCCTGAATGGGAAAAGCAGGAGAAGAAGGATGAGCGGATTATTAGTGTAAGTAATTTGGAGGCTTCACTGACTGCAGAATCCAAGATTGCACAACCTGAACATGCATAAAGAGATGCACCATTGATAACCAAGTTGACACAAAGTACAGTACAAAGCATTTTAATTTCAGGCACTGAGCAGTGTCACAGCAACTTGCAGCTACACCAGATGCCATTAAATTCTAAGCCCTGGGCTGTGAGGTATCAAGAGATGTGTCTCTTACTTAAAACATCCATTTATGGAAAGCACACTCATGCTGTATGCTAAAAATATTTACCCTGGAAACCAGCTGTGCAGCGTAGATGGCCTTCCAACCAGGTTAAGGTTGTTGGCTTTGTAGACAGTCAGCGTTTCGTGGACGTAACCGTGAGGGTTGACGTACGCAGCCATGGGGCCGTACAAGGACAGGCTGCAGAGAGAGGCAGAGAGAGAGAGAGAGGCAGGTGGAAAATGTGTGAATTCAGTAAACTGTTGAGCCAAAACAAAACATCATGAAAGTGAGACACTGAAAATGAAAAGGGGAAACGGGCTTTAAGAGGTCTAAAATTGAAAATGCCAAAAAGTTCAGCTGTGCTCATCATTTTTATATTAACAATGAAGACAAATTTTCTGTCTTCATCGTTTCCTTCTTAGAGCATTTTAACTCTTTTGGGTAATGTTTTCAGTGGAGCTTCTTAAGAACTTTGAATCTCATCTGTGCTATTTTCAGCTAAGCTAAAAATGCAACATAAAACTGCAGGCGTACGCATGACTCACACAATTTTAAAAACTGAATGCTTGACCACTAGATGGAAGGACTTTGGCTCTGATATACCGTGAAGGCATTTTACTGGCATGGTTGGTATCCACTTCCTGCCTTAGTGGGAGAAATCACCTCTCTCCTGTTGGTCATGATCTCTTTCAGAGTGACAGAAGAATATGAAAATAACATGAATCTTATGCTAAGACCTTAGCACCACCAGATAACAACCCATTTGGTCTGATTACACAGTGGCATCATTAAAACAGGGAGAGAAAAAAAATGAGGAAATGTCTTTTAGAGGAGTGGTGTTCATCTCCAGGACCAGTGAAGCTGTTATGTTAGGCTGAGGTTAAGGCTTCTTATGATGGGGGGTTTTTTTGCCTTTATTTGTCATCTACCTTTAGCTGGAGGAGAACATTTGCTCCTTTTCATGGAGCTAAGAGTGAAATTTGGAAACTCAAAAGGACTGCGCAAAAGTTTCAACTCATCCCTGGAGAAAAATGGGAAGAAAGTGCAGTGATTTATTAAAACATGTGCAATGATACAATGAAATACAGTATCTAAGGTAAAATAAGAGTTTGTAAAATGAGCTTGAAAGTCAATATTTACTATGATCACCTTTATACTTCAACACAGCCTGAACTTACTTATGAAAGCTTTCTTCTAATTTATTTAAGGAGTCTTCAGGAATAGTTCTCCAGGCTTCTTGAAGGACATTCAAAGAGCTTCTTTGACTGTCTTTTGTTTGTGCTGTCAAGATTACCCCACACTGTTTCAATAACCTGGAGAGGCTAAGCCAAGGCTGATATCGTTCCATTGTGCATTTTTCAAATTTGGATTCGTCTTTCAGACTTTCCGATATTGTTCATCTGCTGATGTTACTTCAGCCTGTCATTTCTTCTTTTGTCCTGTCCAGTTTTCCTACATTTCTTTAAGGACAGACCATAGACAATGGCAGGTTTTCCTAATATCTCTTTGCGAATCACCTTGTTGGTGCAAAAAGTACTATTTTATGCTGTAAACTGTATTATCTGTGGCATTTATTATAGAGTCAACAAAAACAAATGTGATTAAATTATGTGTTTTGTAGTAGGCTGACAGTAACAAAGTACCTAAAGACGCCATTTAAAATTGGTTGTTTGTATTACGTCTAGACACAATACTGGTTCATCACTTGAGCTAGGTGTCTTTTTTATGCTTGAATGATCCATAGGTCAGTGTTACGTGGCTTAATAAATAAAAACATTCCTCTCAAAATGGTCAGTTACAAGGTTTACACTGAAACGGAGTGAAAATGTCGAACGGAAAACTTCCAAAGACCTTCAGAAAAGCCTGAAGAACTATTGCTTAAAACAACTTGAAAAGGTTACAAGAAAGTCTGGCTGCTTGGAAGCAAAATATAAAGAAATGAAGATGACTCGAGACTTTTGCACAGTACTGTAAGTGGTAAAATTGTAAATTGACTGATTCTTGTATAGCTCTTTTCTACTCTCCTGGAGTACTCAAAGCGCTCTATACAACATGCCACATGCACCCAATCACACCCATTCTCACAAGCACTTTCTCTATACTGAGTGCTTCCTAACTACGGTCACGCACATTCATACTCCGATGGATGCATCGGAGAGCAACTTGGGGTTGCTCTCCGATGCCCAAGGACACTTGACATGCAGACTGGAGTAGCCAGGGATCGAACCACCAACCTTCCGATTAGTAGGTGACCAATTCTACCGCCTGGCTGCTCTACCGCTACAGCCAGGCGGTAGAGCAGCTCCTGTACAGCGCTAAACCCACGCCATGAATAAGGTTTGAAGTATCAAAAGCCAAACACAATCAGAAATGACGCATCAAAAGACATTTTGATGTCCCACACACACAAACACACTAAGTATAATCAGCCCCAAAAACTTCATTTTCAGTCAGTCTTTAAAGCGGTAATTTGGTTACATTTAATGTACTTCTGCTCTGGCATTGAAAGAAGATGCATTAGCACCATACAGTATGTAAATTCGTCAGAGGCAGTGCTTCAACTATTAGTCTGCTTGCCTCTCTCACACATAATCACTCACTGACTCAAAATATATGGATGACAAAACAGAGAGTGCACTTTTCTCATAAACCCCTAAGAATGTTCTGGGCAATTTCATGACTGTTCAAGGTTTTTTGTGTCACTGTTGGACAAACAGATTAACCATTACACAGCAAACTGTCAGAAAATGACATTATATAACAGTGTGCATATAAGAGAGTGCACTTAGACTGTGTGAGTGAGGAGGTGTAGAGAAGCACCACTTACTTTCCTGATGTAATCCCAGAGTTTACGTAACTCTCAGACAGACAAATTGGTCTTAACTTTGACGTGCTAATAATTTCAGTGATTACAATGAAGAAAAAAAAACAAGAAGAACTTGGATAATAAGACCTAATAAAACTGTCATAAACCTCCACCCCCAATTATGCCAGCTGCTCCGGAAACAACTCAAAAAACTATAAAAGTGTACTACACTCCATTATTGTTAAAAGCAGGAAAAACTGCCGACTTGAACATGGAAATCTGTGAAATCTGTGAAGTTGGTTACATCATCTTTTATTCTATTACTGAATCCAAATTTCCAGTGATGTGAGAAGGATGTTACTAGTGCTGAGACGGAACCACTATGTGCTGATCACTATCAACTACTATTTTAACAAAAATCAAAAACAAGCGCTCACCTGAAGATCTCATTTTTTGTGGTGATTTCCGTGTCCTGGCACTGTTTACAGCACAGCGACGTGCACTGAGGAGGAGGAGAGAAAAGAGGGTTTTAACAATATGTATACATGTCACATATTTTCAAAGCAAAGCATCCACTGTTGAGGCTCATTGAGGGCGTTATATTAATCATGCCATTCGTCACGCTTCCACAAATGCGACTCAAAACATGGCCCGAGCTCAGGTCACGTCAGTGTCGTTGGTGAGAGGGATTATTATCCTCAATCAGAAAGAAGGGACAACAGATAATGGGCAAACACATTTAACGAGCACTTCACAAATCAAGCTTCAGCTTCTGATTCAACACAAGTGCGACACACTGATCACTGTTTATATAAACATGCCTGGAAAATCATTAACATTAACTTACCATCCTCCTCCTGAATCAGTCATCTGAGCTTGCTAACCAATTAGATGTTTGTTTGTTTTTCTAATTTTACTCCTTATTATTTGGATTTGGCTAACTGACTAGAGCCACACCTTTTTTTCTTTTTTTTTTAAAACCATTTTTCATTCACAACATAGAAAACATGTTAGTAAATCAGTCTGTAAATGACTAAGAACTGACGAGAGGAATGTTGTCCTATTCTTCTCCGAGTCATTTGATGTTACGTACTGTATGTTTACACTGAGGAACAATTTGTTGCAGATTGGTGAAGGCCAGCCCATCTTTACTTCTGAGGAACTCTACCTCTCTAAGGTGCTTTTTTAAAAAAAAATGTTATACCCACTCATGTTACTGGCCTCTTGTCAATTTAATTCATTAGTTGCAAAATGATTTCTTTTTAGTACCTTGCTTCCTTTCCCAGACTTTTTTGTTTTCATCCCAGCTTTCAGAGACATGGTGCTGCCATCAAACAGCTTAACATATCCTCTTACCCCAAACGGTCGCAGCAGATGGCCACCCCTCCAGGCCAGCCTAGTTCTGCTGGAGGTTTCTCCGTGTTAAAAGGGAGTTTTTCCTTCCCACTGTGGCCAAAGCGCTTGCTCATAGGGGGTCATATGATTTTGGGGTTTTTCTCTGAATTTATCATTGTAGGGTCTACCTTACAATATAACGCGCCTTGAGGCGACTGTTGTTGTGATTTATATTTAATATTTTTAAGTACCTTGATTGCAATCTTTTTTTTTTTAATTTGTTATTAGATTAAGACCCTGATATCATAGTGTGAGCCACTACGATATCAGATGTGTTGTCCATTCAGAGAGCCGCCGGTCATGGAAGAAAGGTGAAGAGCATATCAGGATGATTTGTGATGGAAGTAAAAGGAAAGGTGGCAGTGAGATCGGGTGTGTCATATACAGTTAGGTCCATAATTTGTTGTAATTAAGCACCTTTACACCACCACAGTGAGTTTCAAATTAAAGAATCAAGATTGTAGACTTTGAGCTTTAATTCCAGACGCTTCAAGTCCTGCATTAACTGTGTGGGGATTTCAGCCATTTTTATACAGTCTCCCATTTTCAGAGACTCAAAAGCAACTGGAAAAAAAATTACATAATTTGAATAAGGAGCCTAAAGTCTAAAACTCATGAAGAAGACTCTTGATTGGAGAACCTGACAGAACCTGACTTAGTTAGATGATCTTAACTTACATATATTACATATACTTTATTTCTCATTAAATAACGGGGAAAAGGCTTCAACTAGCCTTGTCAGTCAATCGTCCAGTTCATTTTGTACCTCTGAAAATGAGGGACTATGCACATAAATTGCCAAAATTCCTAAACAGGTAATACAAAGCTTTCTGTAAAAAACCTTTGAATGAAAGCTAAAACGCTGCACTTCAATCACTTCAATCTTGAGTATATAAAATCCACTATGTTGGTGTACAGAGGCAAAATGACAAGAAATGTCACAGAAACTTATGGACTCAATTGCAGGTTCGAGATAAAAGGTCAGGAAGCAGAACTGTAGGTAGTTTCTCATGCGAAGGAGATTTACACTGGGAATGAAAATGATGGACAGGATTAGGAATGAGCATATTAGAGGGAAGGCTCAGGGACAAAATGGAGAGGAAGGAGAAATGATGGTTATCTTTAAGAGAAGGTTATTAAAGTTTGAGCTTCTGGGCAAGAGGGGAAAAAAAAAGAAGGCACAAGAGGTTTGTGGATGTTGTGAGAGCAGACAGTCAGGTGCTGGACATGTGACAGAGCAAGACAAAAAAGACTGGGAGAGATGAAAATGGATGATCGACAATGTGGAATCCTAATGGGAGTATCTAAGAGAAGAAGGAGTAAACAATGTGTGTTTGATGCTGATGAAAGCCCCGTGAGGGCGTAACCCGTCTCCGTATTAACCAATACGCTACACAATATAGGAGCTTTAATGCAACTCCTCTCCTTCCCTTCTTTGATTTTACTCTCATTAAGCACTCACACATAGCTTTTTGTCATCCTCTTCAGATGAACACAAACAAAGTAGCTATTGCTGTTCTCCACTGAGCATGTGTGGAACATGTCTTCCTGTGCTCAAGTATGGCAATGACTGAAGAGGGCCTGAAGAATAGTCTCTGTAAATAGCGGACCTGACTAAAGGGATTAGAAGAACAGCTACCAGACCAGAGATGATTTCAAATCATCTGGAGTGGGAGTTAAATGTTTTTGCCAAATGTAACAATTATGAAGCAATTTCAATCGCAGCAAAGTGATGAAACCACTGACCAGCATAAGTGTCCTTACTACAAAGCCATACTGCTAACACGGCTAAAAACAACCTGTGACTGCTTTGGCCCACATGACTGAGTAAAAGCAGATCTACAGTGGCCAGAGTGCTTTGTTTTGAGTTTTTTTCTTTAATTGAAATATGGATAGCTCTCTTGCTGTGTCCAACCTCTCCTTAAAATCAGATCAACCCCTTCAAGGTGACAAACAGCTGATGTTCACTGCATGCTAAATACCGGTCCATTAACCTTAAATGCTGCAATGGCTGCTTTTGACTCTGAAAACTGAAATATTGCAGCACTAACACATCTGTCAGCCCCCGTCAGACATGGTTAAATATAACAAGACACACCAGAGGGACACTGTGTGCTCAGTAAAGCACAAGTAGGAATCTTATCACTGCATAAGACAAATTATGTCTGAGGTTTGGGGCAGGTCAGCGAGGCTGTTGGTGACTTTTACTTACCCGATCCATAATGTCTAGCTCACAGCGAAGTCTCTGGATGGCGCTGCCAATCTTTAATAGCTGGAGCCGCAGAGCATCATCTATGGGCAGACAGGCTGCTACTCTGTAGGAGAAATCTGACAGAGCGTAGACAGAAGGACAAGAGAGCGATGAAATAAAGAGGACAGAAAGTACAACGAACACAAACAAATTGCGAGTGTGCATGTTTACATACAGATGAGGACAGAATTATTAGCCCCCCTAAAAAAGTAGTTCCCAATAGGGATTGCGTACCATATTTTACTTTGCACACAGAAACAAAACAATTTCACAAGAAACAGAAACAATCAGGTGAAAATTATTAACCCCCCTGATGCTAATAATCTATTGCGTATCCTTTTTTCTGGGTAACACCTTGCAGATATTTGTTGTGGTTTTCACACACGTCTTCTGAGCAATCCCAGCCCATTCTTCTTTGGTCAATCTCCACCACCCCCTCCTCCTTCTGGTCTTCGGTACACACCATAAATTTTCATTCGGATTCAAGCCAGGGCTTTGTGCAGACTAGCCAGTAATGTTCACTTTGGTCTTCTGATAGCAATTCTTCACCAGGAGCCATGTATGTTTTGAGTCACTGTGCTGGAAGACAAAGCAATGACCCAGAACCAGTTAAGCTGCTGACTGCTTTCTTTTAAAATCTCCATGTCTTTCTTCTTTATTCCTTCCACCTTGATGAGATTCCTAGTTCCAGATGCACCGAAGAATCCCTACATGATACTCCGACCACCATGTTTCATTGTGGTGCTCTCTGGGCTGTCCACCGCTCTTCTTCCTCCAGATATAAGCAACGTTTCTGTGGCCAAATAGTTCTGCGTAATCTTTTTCCAGGTTGTCTTTAGCATATTTCAGTCTGGTTTAAAAGTGTCTTTTTCTACAGAAGTGGAGTTTTTCCCCTTCAGCAACCTTGCAGTCCATTCCTGTGCGGCGTTCCAGTGAGTGTCCTTTGATCCTACAATTTCTGACTTTGCTAAATCATTTACTAGTGTCTCTGCATTTTGTTCTGGGGTCTTTAAACACATCTCTCACTAGTTTTCATTCCAGAGCCTTTGGAAGCCTTTTTGGCTTCCTGCCTCTGCCAGGCTTGCTCTGTATTAATAGCTCTCTTTGAATTTATTATTGATACGTCTCACTCCAGTTCGTGACTCTCAGAAAACCTTGTATATCCATCTCCTGCCTTGTGACCATCAACAATTCCTTTTCTTAAATCTAAACTTATTTTATTTTATTTTTGGAACAACACTTTCTCAAGTGACATTCTGCAAAAAAACTAGTGTGTTTAGAAAAGCTATGTAGAAATTCCCCTTGACTTCATCACTTTAATAATAGGGGAGGTAATAATTTTGTCTGCATCTGTACCTGTACCTTCTGGAATAAAATCAACATAGTCTGACCTACTGCATTCGCCGGGAGGGAATCATCCTTCAGATTCTCATCCCATTCATGAAGCTGTTTCTTCACCCTGTTCATGAGCGACTCCTGTGAGGTGAACCACCAAAAGCCGAGAAATCTTGGTTTATATTCATTTGTGTGTCATGTTTATATATAGAGGAGGAAGTGCCGCGGGCTGCAGTACTTACTGAATCATAGAGTGCGTAGACCCAGGGTGGCCATGGCGTCAGACTGGCACAGTGAAACTTTCTCTGTGGTCAATAACACATGTATCACTTAAATCAAATCTAATCTGATGATTATGGAAGCAACACAAGATCCGTCCCTTTGTCATATAGAGAAGTAAAAGTAGCATGTTCCAGGTCACGGTTTTGCACATGGGCTACTTTCACATCCAGTGTTAATGTCACCTGCACAGATACCTTAACATGTCATCTACTTATTCTCCTTTAACAGTAGACATTAACATTTTCTCCTACTAAAACAATCTAACACCTGCCAACACATCTGCACTAAGTCACTTTCTCTACTGTTTTTAACTGTATTGATTTATTTCACATCTTTACATTATGAAACACATCAGCTGCAACAACTAGTCAATTCATGTGAGTGAACTGGATTAAAATGAACTATGTACTAACTAAACACACCATAGGTTATATGTACAGGTTGTATTTGGAAATGTCAAACAATAAAGATTAGCATGCCCAACTCCAAACATGCTGAACCATAAAAATATCAAGCTAATTCAGCACTCAGTTAAATGTAGGCAGTATTTAATATTACAAGACAGAAAAAAGCCGCTTATCTTTTTTTTACCACTTACAGTTTATGGAGGTAAAAATCCCAGAATTTTTGGACAATGACACATTTTTTGCAATTTTGCCTCAGTACTTCATCACAACAGATCTGAATCAGACAATCAAAATGCGTTTGAATTGGCAGGATTTCAGCTTTAATTCAAGTAGTTTTACTAACTGCATTAACAGTTTAGGAGTTAGAGACGTTTTTATCTTGGGTTTTTTTTTAATTGTTTTTAATAACAATTTTCAGGGGCTCAGAGGTAATTGGACAATTGAATGTTAATCAGTATAATGGGCAGATAAGGTCTCTTCCCTCGTTGGCGAGATGTTGTTGGAAGTGAGGGAGGCCATCATTAGACTGAAAAAAGTAAATAAACCTACGAGGGACAGCACAAACTTTAGGTCCAAATCAACAATCAAAGGCCTGAAAGACCACAGACGACCCCTACCAAATGATCATAACCAAATTAATTTAATAGCAACATCTGACCAAGTCAAGAACACTCAGTGAGATACAGTTGCATCATTGTCAAAGTCTACAATTAAGAGATGACTTCATGATTGGGAAAGGAGGATTTACAAGAAGGTGCAAACTACTGGTTACACTAAAGAACAAAAACACTGATAATCGCCAATGGTATGACTCACCCTAGTAGCAGAGACACCTGTGGGATCAATTTCAAAACCCTACATGAACTTCTTCTTGTGTTGCTGCGTTTAAAAGATTTTCAGAAAACTTGACCTTGGGCTCAAACTCAAGGTCGTTGAGATTTTTATTAGCTGCACCCACTGTATTAAATTCAAACATTGCCTCATTCTCGAGTTATCACATTCACAAACTCACAATCATCCCGCTAACTGTGATGACGACAATACCCCTTCAGCCATAAGAGGACAGATTAGACTTTCCCAGAAAACATCTAAAGAAAACATCTAAAAGAGCCCGCGTCGGTCTAAAATAAGTTCTTTGGACAGATGAACCCAAGAAGAACTTGTACGAGCTAGGAAGAGAAAAGTATGGAGAAGGAAAAAAACAGCCCTTGAGCCAAATCAAAATACATCTGTGAAACATAGTGCAGGAAGTGTCATGATACAGGCATGTATCGTTTGCCAGTGGAACTGGACCACTAGTGTTTATTGACGATGTGACTGCTGATAGAAGCAGGAGGATGAATGACTGATAAAAGTGTACAGGGCTATGTCTGCTCAGATTCAACCAAATCCTGCACTTCACACTGCAAATGGACTATGACCCAAAGCATACTGCAAAAACAAGCTGAGATTTTCTCAGGGCAAAATATTTTAGATATTCTTCGGTGGCCAAGTTAGTCACCTGATCTCAACCCAACAGAGCATGCTTTTCAGTTATCAAAGACAAAACTAAAGGCAGAGAGAGCCAAGGTCTAGCAGAGGATCTCAGGGGAGGAAACAGCTTTTGATTATGTCCACAGAATTTCATCAAGTATTAAAGACATTCCATGTAATTAACATTATGTTAGTTTGTCCAATTACTTTTAGGTAGTTAATGCAACATTTTAGGAAAAATTGTGATTTTATTTAAAATCTACTGTGGTGGTGTAGAGAGGCATAATCTTTTTTTATGTCACTGTCCAAAAACCTTTGGATCTAACAGTATAGGATTAGGGTGGGATTCAGTGAAAAGGATTCAGGTGAAAATGCTCATTTTGCTCATGATTCAAATGGAAACTTCACCACATATTTCTAGTAATTCTTTGAATGTATTTCAGGTCTTCACTTTCACACAAAACTAGACTTTGATTATTTAGTTGGTCCGCGCAGGACCTGACAGCTCGAGGGTCGTCAGGTCCTGCGCGGACCAACTGTGTGGGGTGATGGAGCACCTCTTCAACCTGAGCCTGAGGTTGGGAAGAGTCCCACAGCTCTGGAAAACCTCCTGTGTTGTACCAGTGCCAAAGACTTCACGCCCCAAGGACCTCAACAGCTACAGGCCGGTGGCTCTGACATCCCACCTGATGAAGACCCTGGAGCGGTTGGTCCTGGCTCAGCTTCGGCGCCTAATAAGCTCATCACTGGACCCACTTCAGTTTGCCTACCAGCCTGGCATTGGCGCGGATGATGCCGTCATTCACCTCCTACATCGTTCCCTCGCTCACCTGGAGACCGCTGGAAGCACTGTGAGAATCATGTTCTTTGATTTCTCCAGTGCCTTCAACACCATTCTTCCCTCGGTTCTAAAGGACAAGCTGGTGAACTCTGGAGTGGACCATCACCTCACTACCTGGATCCTGGACTACCTCACCGACCGACCACAGTATGTGAGGACTCAGGGCTGTGTGTCGGACAGGGTCGTCTGCAGTACGGGGGCCCCACAGGGAACGGTTCTGGCTCCGTTCCTCTTCACCATCTACACTGCAGACTTCTCCCACAATTCCACCCAGTGCTTCCTGCAGAAGTTCTCTGATGACTCTGCAATAGTCGGCCTCATCACTGATGGGGACGACAAGGAGTACAGAGGTCTGACCCAAGACTTTGTGGACTGGTGCCAGCTGAACTACCTCCAGATCAACGCCAGTAAAACCAAGGAGCTGGTGGTAGACTTCCGCAGGCACAAGCATTCTCCACTGCAACCACTGAACATCCAAGGTATGGACATTGAGGCAGTGGACAGCTACAGGTACCTTGGTGTTCATCTGAACAACAGACTGGACTGGACTCATAACTCAGACGCCCTCTACAGGAAAGGGCAGAGCAGGCTGTACCTGCTGCGGAGACTCAGGTCGTTTGGGGTGGAGGGCCCACTCCTGAAGAAATTCTATGACTCTGTTGTGGCTTCTGCTATCTTTTATGGTGTGGTCTGCTGGGGCGGCAGCATCTCTGCTGGGGACAGGAAGAGACTGAACAGGGTGATCCGAAGGGCCAGCTCTGTTCTAGGATGCCCTCTGGACCCAGTGGAGGTGGTGAGTGACAGGAGAACGGCGGCTAAGCTGTCATCCCTGTTGGACAACATCTCCCACCCCATGCAGCAGACTGTGACAGCACTGAGCAGCTCCTTCAGTGGGAGACTGCGGCACCCACGGTGTGGGACGGAGAGATTTCGCAGGTCTTTCCTCCCCACTGCTGTCAGACTCCACAACAAAGACTTTAACTGATCAAGCACACACATCCATACATATGCAATAATACTAAGTGCAATAATCCTTTCTGTCATCGTTGTATTTTTACTCAGTTGTATATAGTATTTGTATTCTATTTTTATCTTATTGTATATTTATTTTATTTTATTCTACTGTATATAGTATTTTATTTTATTCTATTCTGTACAGTTGTGTACTGTATTTATTCTTATTGTATTCTAATTTTTGCCTCATAACTTTTGCACTGTCCACTTCCTGCTGTGACAAAATAAATTTCCCACGTGTGGGACTAATAAAGGTTATCTTATCTTATCTTAAACAGGCACCGACTGATCTGATGTTTTACTGAACAGTTTCTCAAAGTGGAAAAATACATTTTGCATCTTAGATGAGGAAATTCATCTTAACTTTCTTGTCACTGTCATCTGATTCAAACATCTCCAAAAGTAGAAACTGTTACTTTTAGAAAGCGCACACAGATTTCACGTTTGTGCATGATTCTCTGTACCTGTTTGTAGTTATTCCACCAGCACTGAGCCTGTTTGCAGCTCTGACTTGGAGGTTTGGAAGAAGGGTGCATGTGGAGCCTGGACAGAGGCGTTAGCTGCACAGCGGAGAGGGGGTCTGGAAGGATTCGTTCTGGAAGGATCTGCACTTTAGCCTGTTTGATCCTGAGAAGAGGAACAAAAGCAGACAATAACAAAGACCCGTGACACAAAAGAAGGGAAATGTGAATGATGACAGCAGAATATGAGTGAAACTGAGCAGGCGAATAGTAGATTAAACAAATGGTGCACTGGCCAAACGCTACATTACAGGATGTTTGGATCATTGAGGTGATCACAAAAAGGTGCCATCTGGGTTTTTTCCTCACTCGACAATAAGAAATATTTTGCCAGTGCCCGACACAGATTATTCTCAGTGAACTTCGTGCAGAGAAATACAAAGCAAAGCCAGACCACAGAGAAACAAGAAACGCTGCCTCACAGCTGTAGGGCTAAATCCATGTCTGTCCAGACTTGACCTTTTAATCTGATCTAAAATATAATTACTAAGCCATTTCATCCCTTTACACATCTGAGAGACATTTTGTCATAGTCCCTCCCAAAAAAAAGTAATAATTCAGACTCAAATATCAAATTATGAGCTTCCACATAATGAGCTTGGTGCCATTCTCAAAGAGGGGGGATAAAAGTCAACAGATTTTAAGGGTTTGTTAACTGGGGTGTAATTTCTGTAGCATGATACACATTTTGTTTATCAAACTATATAAAATATTGGGAAAATGCACAGACCTCTGTCAAATAAGGTAACACAGACTCACTGTCTCTACTGGATGTGACTGATAACCCTCCACCTCCACCCATGAAAGGCAGATTCTTATCCCTGACACACCCTACAAATATTTCCCTCTGCAGGAAATCTTAGAAACATTACAGGGAGGATGTTTACTGAAATAGAAAGAATAGACAGAAAAAGTACAAAGTATATTTTAATTTTAAACAAGAGAAAGCGCAGACTGCATGTAATTGAGTGATTGATTAAATGCTGTATTTTCCAAGAGTCACAACAGAAGGTCAACACAATCATGGCAACCACTGTATGTGTATTATATAACCTCAATTAGAGAAAAGGAAAATGCCTTAATAAAGCCTCATTTTTATGGACAGTATGTGCCGATGATTTCCAGGGAGGATGTGGGTTAATATGATCTATTACATGACTTCAATAGATACATCTTTATCAATGCTTCCTTTTTTTTCAGTCCAAAAAGACAATATGCTTTGCATTTACGCAGCTGCACTGAACTCTGGAATAAGTCAGAAACGTAAATCTGTTGTTGCAACAGCCCTCTTCACAAATTTCAACATGTGAGGATGATTCTAGAGGCGGTGAAAAAAAATATTGCAAAAGCATAGTATTGTGATTGTGATTTTGTGTGGTGATATTGTATGGATCTGGAGACACTAAATATTGATATTTTATTAAATACAATTAAAATACTCTGGGAGTACTATGCACGAGAGGGCATCTCATGCATCATCATCCTGTGATAATGTTAGCCAAGTAAACTTACATTATATAAGATAAGAGATAAGATAAGATAGAACTTTATTAATCCCTCGGGTGGGTTCCTCTGGGAAATTCGACTTCCAAAAAAAAAGCACAGCAACGACCGAAGTTACAGTTACAGAATTGTTTTATATATATATATATATATATATATATATATATATATCTCATCTCAACCGAAAAACCATCCAACACTGGACACGCTTAGCTTGACAAAGCTACTTCCAAATTAAAAGCAAGCTAATGACTCAGTGACGCAAGTAAAAATAGGACTTATGGTGGCGAGATGGTTGCCCAGAACTTGAGTGTTGCACAGTCATGACCACTTGTGCAATCATAAGGCAAATGCACAGATCACCCAATAGGAGACAACCTTTCTGCAAACAGTCACATTCTGATTTGAACTGACTGCAGTCACTCACAGAGAGATTGTTAAAGGTTTGCACAGACATGCTGTCTAATTTATAAATGCAGACAGTTTGCCATCAGTCTGAATGAGTCTTTGTCAATGAGCACAACTCGAGGGGACTCGACACAACTGGCTGTCAGCTGGTTGTATTCTGGTTTTGTTCCAATGGAAGAGGAAGACTGCTGAGCATAAATGTAATAGATAGATGTGAATTTCAGTTTATGTAGACAGCAACAGATATGCAAATTTCAATGATTTACCATTGAATTATTAGAAACAGACTGCGTGTACTTGCCAACTTGCCCCATTCAAAGGTAGACTGATTACAGACTTTTAGTGATAAGTGTTGTTATGTTTGACAATCTCATTTTGCAGCAAAAAGAAAAAAAAGAACTAAAATGACATAACATTATCTTACTGGATAAAAGGGATACTTTGCAGTTGATGATAAATTGCAATATACAGTATGTTATTAAAATACACAACATTTTGCAGAATGTTCAAAATCATAATAATCTCATATTGTGTAGTCTGTTTACCACCTCTTGGTAATATAGATAGGTATAGAGCTGACATCACCTCTACACATCCACATGCACATCCACGCGATGCTGAATTGCTGTAATCTCTGGTTTCCACAAGCAAATGTTTTAAGAAACTACATTTCTTTTAAGTACATCTATTAGAGACAGCCTCCATGCTACTTGTTTTGAAGCAGTTTGTGACGCAATAAAAACCTGTGTTTCTAGTTGATTTTATCAAGTGTTAGATTGTCCCCTAGTGGTCAAATACTGTGTGACTGTTGACGGTGTGTCTCTGTGCCATTATTGACATAGTTTTCCTTCTCATCTAAATGTGTTTCTGACTAGTTGTCCGGCTGAAAACCTGCAGGTATGCAACTCCTGTAGAAAACAGCTGTCTCACTAAATGCAAGAAACAAAGTTTCCTTTTTTTACTGCAGAAACTCTGAATTAAACAAGAAAAATGTTTTGCACCCATTTTCTGTTCCACAGCTGGCTGCATTTTTTTCCTTTGCATATATTTGATTTCATTTGGCATTTTTTAAGGGTTATGTGTGGCTTTGTTGATTTGTCGCACATCTTTGAACCAGGGATTGGCAGTAAGAATTCAGCCCCCACCTTTGGTTTAATACTTTATGAGGGAACTTCAACTTACCCATCTGCTTGAGTTCTTATCTCGTGGACCTTAAATCGCTGCCTCCCTATAGCCTTCACTTTGACTGTTTCAATGCCGTACTCCTGCTCCTCTCTGTATGCATAGATTTCAGCCGTAGTTCCAAACTCTGCATCCGGCTCACCTGTATCGCTGCAGACACACATCAGATGCAGAAATTGAAATGAAATGCTGAGAATTATCCACCAGTGACCCACAAGAAACAGTTTACATAAAGAAGAGTCATGGAAATTTGCACCTGTGGTCACAAGGTTACACACACACTCAACGTGGACATGAATGCCATAGTAATTTTGGCTTAAAAAAACAACAACAACAAAACAAACAAACATTAAAACAAGAATTAGAGTACACAAGCCTGAATTTATCTGGGATTTTCTATAACCCATTTTCTATAATCCACAGAGGATCTGCCACTCTTCTTGGCAGAATTGTTAAGAGTGCGTTTCAATTCATTGATTTCCTGGTATGGACCTGCCTTTTAAGTGTTGTTTACAAGTTTTCAATTGATTTGAGGTCTTTAGAAAGACCATTCCAGAAGCTTTTACCTGCTTTAGCCATTCCAAAACAAGTTTTTGTGTGTGTTTGGGATCATTGCCCTGCTGAAAGATGCAATTCTATACACGTTTTAACCATCTAGCTGTGAGTGAGTTAAAGTTGAAGAATTTAGAGGTGGTACACTTTCATTATTTCATGTACTTTGTGCCATGTACCAGAGCCACAGGCAACAAAACAAACCTGGACCATGATGCTATCACCACCATATTTATGCAGCTAGTACTGTGTTACTAGGTTTGCAGCCTCACCTGACGCCAGTGTCAGGTAAATAACATGTGACCACACCCTCATGCAATCACCTGAGGTGCAGGAAAATCTAAACACCTGTGCCACCATAACAAATAAACAAAACATAAACATTCATTTTGGTTTTATAGTGAGGTCCTTGGACTTTCCCATTGTTCTAAGTATTGGTCAATCCTGGGAAAGAGACACTACCAGTTGTAGTCAACCATGATCAGAAATGAGATATTAATAGACCTAAGACTTGTCAGGTTAAAAGACACTGCATAACCTTCACATATTTGAAGATTTAAGTGAGTGTGTGTAAGCCAGAGTGTATAACTTTAACCCTCCATGGATTAGAGAAAATCCAAAAATAATTTCAAACTTCTGATATATGTTTTACAATCATTCAACCCTGGGGGAAAAAAACAGTTCAAAGACATCATTAAAAGCCCAAAATTGCAGTGACATTCATGCCTATGATGAGTGTGTGCAACCTTCTGACCACAACTGTATTTTCTTCAAATGAAAACAAAAAAATGCTTTCCATTTGTAAGAGTTGTGCATCTTTCCATGATTGCCAGCATACACAGAGATTTTAACAGCATCACACACCTGTGTGCGAGCACAGCAAAAGTGCGGTCTCTCTGGATGACGCTCCTCATCATGCTGACCTCCTGCGGCCTGAAGAGCTGCAGAGGCAGCGTCTGGCCCGGCACCAGCATCACAGCTGTGTGTGGCAGCACGGGAATGGTCTGACAGCTGTCGTCATCGTGGACCGTACGGCCATGAAACTCCTCCATGTCTGAACCCAGGTACTGGCACACAAAAAGGGGGTTAGATTAACACAGCAGCTGCAGAGAAACTAAAACTCTGAGAAGGATCACATGCATGAAAGCAAATCATGTAAAAAAAGATGTTAGAATAAGAGGGATTGTGATGCATGACTCACTGAATGTGATGTGGGAAGACTAGGGTCAAAGGTGATGATGTTGGGCTTTTCTGCCTCCTCACTGTCTCGATCTTCGGTCTCCATGTCATCCTCCTCTTCCTCCTCCTCATTGTCTGTCACAGCGCACAAGTGTACACAGAGAGGCTAAGTTAGGTAGCTCGTTGACAAGCCTTAGACGTAAAAGCTTCACCTTAATAAATCGCACTGATGGCATAATTGAAAAGAAAGCGAAAGCAGAGGGTTGAGACAGTGAGAGTGATCACTAACAGTGGCCTGCTGTGGAGGTGTGTTAGCTAGCATTTAGCAGGAGGAAGAGAAACGCACTGTCCCGGTGAAAACACCGAGCAGGCTTTCGGTCAGCTTAACGGGTACCTGGTAAGAGCTGTAACTGGTTCCCCATGTTGTCGTTGGCGTTGTCTTCCCCTCCACCCCTCTCGTCAGCCATATCCTTGTGTTTACAATACTAAGTCTTCTTCTACGGCGTATCAATGTGCAGGACCCGGTGGAAATATAGCGCCCCCCGGCGACATCGCTACATAATGTACACTGTTGAAATGCCATTTTACTACGGTGGCCCCGAGGGGCCAAACGAAAGCAGAATAAATGCAGCAAAAGAATAAAAAAACACGTCGGGGGAAAAAATAGAGAAAAAAGGAAACAAATTAAAAAAGAAATTAGAAATAATAAATAAATACAATTTTTTAAAAATGGCTCAAACGCGACAGCCAAAAAGTAAAATTTTTAAAGTAATTACTGGGTTTTATCTCACTTATTTGTGCAGCGATACAAATGTTCCAATGACAAAGATCATGAAAAAGTTCAATTTGGCTGCATGTCAGCAAAGTTATCTGACATTAGTGATGTTAGTTAGTACTTAATGCAGGTTCCACTTGCTTTTAAAGCTTTTACTTTATGATGCACGCCATTCAAAGATCGACTTTAACGTTAAAAAGACATTACGATTTTATGAATAACTAATGCCAGAATATTCACAAACAGAACAAGCTGAAACATGTAAAAAAAGGGTGTAATGCTGCATAAACATTAGCAGACGGCTGTGGAGGACAGGAGGACCTTGACACTGAGCTTAAAATCACTTTTACAGCCCCGCAAAAACAGCACGATCGATTACACTAATGTTAATGTTAGTTCGGTTATTTCGGTTATGCTGCCTTAGCTGGTTCTGTTGGTGGTGTTGAGCCATATTTATTTTAAGAAGAAACAAGCAGACAGTTCACTTGTTAAGTTAAAAGAATAGTAGTTTATTCACAGGACCCAAACATTTGGCCAGTGTACAAACTTAACCACTTTATACTTAAATTTAGCTCTCATCTTATTTAGTACCCCTAATAAAATAAATACTAATAAAACAGGAAATACTCCCTGTGCTATTTTTGTACTAGTGTATATAGCCTGAGCCTGTCACCTTTCTGTCTGTCCTGCACCTTTCCCTTCTCTTTTTCTTTCTCTCTGATTGTAAAATAAAAGTATGAACATGTATTTATAAGTTAAACTTGTGTTTTAATCACACGTTTGATTTCCAGTCTGAGAACTAAGAGTGTTGAGAGTCAGGACAGACTGCGTGACATCTTGAGGAAGAAGTTGATAATCCTCCACAGAGCAGAGTGGCACAGGAGACGGGGAAGAGAGAGAGCCAGGAAACGAGCAGCTTTTATTGCTAAAACAACTGCTCGGGACAAACACAGCGGCCAGCTGAAATGCTCAATAGAGGAGGTGAGTCACTTCCTTCAAGACATCATGAGTGACCCACAGAGGGAACAAGATTTGGGACCTAATGAAGCTCTCGTCAACCCCCCATAGCAGAGTTTAAGTTGACAGAGCCAAGTTTGAAGGTGGTGTGTGAGGTCATCAAGTCAGCCTGCTCAGCATCCTCCCCAGGTCCCATAAGCACTGCCCAGTGCTTCTCTGACATCTGTGGAAGATCTTAAAGGTGATATGGCAGAGAGCAAGAGTTGATGACCAGTGGAGGTGCACAGAGGGAGTCTGGATTCCCAAAGAGGAGGACTCGAAAAACATCAACCAGTTTTGGAGCATCTCGCTATTGAGCGCAGAGGGGAAGGTTTTGTTTAGCATCGTCTCCCGGAGACTGACCGAGTTTCTTCTTAGAAGCAGCTACATTGATCCGTCAGTTCAGAACAGGGGGGGGGGCTCCCAGTAGTTCCTGGTTGCCTAGAGCACACTAACGTAGTTACACACCTTATAAGAGGAGCCCACAAGAACAAGGGCGACCTAGCTGTTTTGTGGCTTGACCTGACAAATGCCTGTGGGTCTATCCCACACAAGCTGATTGGGCGTGCTCTACACCTCCACCATGTTCCCAGCAAAATCAAGCACCTGATCTTGGATTATTATGGCAATTTCAGACTGAGGGTCACTTCTGGGTCAGTGACTTCAGACTGGCATCGCCTCAGGAAAGGTATAATAACAGGCTGTACCATCTCAGTTATGCTCTTTGCTCTCGCAATGTACATGGTGGTCAAGGCCGCTGAGGTGGAGTGTAGAGGGCCGCTAACTAGGTCAGGACTGATGGCATCTCACCATCACGATGCCATCAGTCCCAGGGTGCAGGTGGATGTTATGAGGTCTTGAGAGTCTCATCTCAGGGGCAAGGATGAGTGTCAAACCTTCCAAGTCAAGATCTATGGTGCTGAAGAAGGGAAAGGTGACGGACAAGTTCCGGTTTTCAATCTCAGGAACTATAATCCCGTCCATAACGGAACAACCAGTCAAGAGCTTGGGAAAACTCTTTGACTCCAGCCTGAAAGACTCTGCTGCCATCTAGAAGGCAAATGTTACTGCACTAAATTCTGTAACTAAATTACAGTTACAATGATGTCGTTACTTGTGTTACAAAGGTTCTTCAGTTATCTGAAGACCAGTTGGTTAACAGTTGGTCGTATTTTACCCAGTAGGCAACGATCTGTAAATTAATTTAAATTATAAAACTCAAACAGAGATATATAGTCTTTCTGTGTATACTTATAAATTAAAAAAAAAAAACAAACAAACTCAAAAACTTTGGGATGCATATATTCCAGAAATCCACACATTCTGAATGAATAGCTACCATTGATAGGTACTATTCAAGTTAAAATTACCACACTTCTTAATGTCCAAAAGCTAACCTTATCTTCTGTGAAATTTTTCAGTTTTCAAAGCAATCAGATGGACCAGACTGGACCGTTTGGCAGGTTACTTCATATCAAACCACGTGTTTGATATTCCTATAGTAAACCTTTACAATCCAGCAGGTTTTGAAAAGAGAATGAGATAACGATGTAGTTTAAATTAGAATATACAGGAAATAGGGCATTTCATTTACAGTGGCATATACAAAGGGAAAGTTACTACATTTACTCAAATATTGTCAGGTACTTAGCCTTGAATACACTGAATAGTGACTTTCTAATCCACATCTACTCATTATCAGTGTATATTAATGCCTGCAAAGGGGATATTTGTCCCTTTCAATACATTTCATACAATTTGCAAGAAATTTAATAGTATGAAATTTTATTAACTTTAATAACATGTCCATACTTGATCTTTTCATTCATAAAGTTTATTTCTAATGAGCAACTATGTAGCAGATTTTGCATTATGTCATTGGGCTAAAAACAAAGAACCAGAATGGTTGAAAATAGAGATGAAAAATAATGGAAATGAATGACTTGTTGTGGGATGGCCCTGAACAGCAGCATTTCATCAGCAAGATGCAATTTACAACTTGATTGAACTAAAAACACTGCCACCAGGATTCTGTGTCACAGCTGACCCTTTAGCAGTTCACACAGGAGTCAATCGTGACCTCTGCTTTTAAACACAACGTGTACTATAAGTTGTCTTCCAACTGAAGGACTTTAACCTTTTTGATTTCAGATCGAAAGCAATTTTTCTAAAAGGCACTTGGATAAATCACCTGCAGTTACATTTGCCTCCAATTCTTTTCATCCAGCTAACACATTAACATTTAACACTCCCTGCATGCAGTTAGCCTGCCCGACAGCCCTGATAAAACCTACACATTGTGTAATTCAGTAGTGTCGAACTCCAGGCCTCAAGGGCCAGTGTCCTGGAGGTTTTAGATAACACCCTGGGTCAACACACCTGAATGAAATGATTAGTTCCTTACCAGGCTTCTAGACAACTGCAAGACGTGTTGCCGTAATTTAGCCATTTGAATCAAGGACACATCCAACACCTGTAGTGTAATTTATTTCAAGTACAAGTCAGTCAACCTAGCCTTACTTTATAACATAAAAATCAAGAGGTTTAAACTGGTGGTAATTTAACAGTGTTCATTTATTGTTCAAAACACCACAAACAATTGTACAGAAACAAGATGCATTATGGTCCATGAACAACGCAGCTGTAGTCATGTTCTTCTCCAGCATCTTCACCATCTTCCAGTCAGACCGTCACAGCGGGCGCCGTGAAAAGCGTGGTCATCTGAAATCGGGGGTTTAGGCCTTTAATTTCGTTGATGGAACCGCCGAGCAATCCCCCTTCGTCCGCATGTCAGTCACCTGGAGAGGCTCAGATGTGATCACAGCTGGCAGGCAGGAGGAGGGGCTTACTTTGACCTCTGCCTCATCTTTCTCCTTTTACGCTTCAGCCTGTTGGAAAACAGCAGCTGTCAGTAAAACACTCAATAGCACAAGGACTAAGATAGTAACAAAAATTGTTAAACTATAATTCAGTAATACTAGTTATCGAGATTATGACCAAAACTGGACAGCCCTGTGATGCCCATCAATATCGGACCAATCATGTAAATTTCCCTTCAGCTGTTAAGGACAGGACAGGAGTGTTTTCTATTTAATGATTTTTATCACCACCTAGACCAAGCGAGTTTGTGAGTACATTGACGTGTATTCATTTATTCATTCATTTTGTAAAGCTTTTTAACAGTGTTCCCTCAGTTACAAACCTGTACATCTTTAAATTAAACACTGACACTGTACAAACTTGGCTGAAAACTGAATTTCAGTTATTGGAGTAATGCTGCTCAGGAACTATATAACCCAGGTCATTTTCAGTAGATATAATTTTCCCTGCATCCAATTGAAACGTAGGGGCAAACAATTGTCAACATTTGAACAAGCCCAACCTAACATACTTTACAGTTAAAGCTCAATGATATCCACTAAATGTAAAATAAAACAAAAAAAAACAGACTTCCTTCCTTATAAACCTGACTTTTCCAAAGCCTAAACAATTGTGTTGCCTAGCCTAAATTTAAGCAGCTTGGATTAGGGAGCTGACAAAGACATTTTCTTTGTTTATCATGATGCTTACCTGCGCATACGCTTCTTCCTCCACTGAAAAAAGGGAGAAAAAGCACAGTCATTAAGAGTACATCAAGACCACATTTGCGCCACTACTTGGACAACATGCTTACTGTGATGCAGACAGTTACAGGGCCTCAGAACATGCAGTACATGTTT